GTCAAATGTCACACTAGACAAGAAGGTGATTATCAAAAATCCGTTCATCTCAGTTCACAGTCAGTCGAAAACTTTCATTTTGCAGAAGCTAGCCCATGTAACGTGCACTTCTGTCAGGCTACTATGTTTGGCCCACTAGCTCAGTTCGAACCAAAGTATGGTAGAGTGGCGTGAGTTTTGGCTTATTTTTATAGGGCGCCAGAGGTAAATATTACCTCACCAAAAGGATCACGAATACTATGTAGCAATGTTTATTTCATAAGAAAACAATGATAAAAAAGTGACAACACACAAGGCGGAAAACTGCTATTGGTCAATACAAAAGTAGTGTAAATTTTCTAAAATGTTTTTGTTTTAACTCTTTAAACGTTTCAGCACAGTACAGGTCTAAACGAACTAAAATGGATAAGAAATATGTAAGTGTCATACACTTATAAAATTTAAATTCCCTGCAGTGCCCGCAGCACCCTGTTAAAAATCTTTCTTGTACGACAAAGGCTGTACCAGGTTTAAACAGTTAGCAGATTAGCAGTTCTAAATAGCAGAATTACAAACGAAATTTGTTTACTATGAACATAATTTAGGCATTAAAATCCTTTTTATGAAGAAATATACCGACCCGACCATCCAGCATTGCTCCCACCCGACGGAAGGCAGAGATTAATATTTTCGGGGGATATTATCACAAATCTTATTTTTAACGTTTTTCCCTTTATAGCAATACGTACAGTTATGATCTTATAACGAGATGGCATCGTTGGGGGGGGAGGGGCTGATGCCCCGCAGCCGTCCCCAGGTACAGCCCACCCTGGCCGGAGCAGAAAATGGACTTGAGCGATCAGCTAGTGAGGCAGACCAGCCTGCGATCGCGTCGAGAGGTTGGCTGGGCCGTGTGACATGTGCGCGACGCGCGTACTTTCTGTGACGTTGGGTCTATTACACCTAGTCGGTTGCATATCAACTCGAGAGATACGGCAGTGTTAGTTCGAGCCGGACCCCGCGAGAGTGCGTGCCACCGTCGTGCCTGTTCTCTCAAGTTGATGCCAAACCGGGGTTCGGCCTGGTAGACCAATCGCCCCATCAAATACGCACTAGTCCGCTGAAAAGTTCTCAAGGTAAAGTTCTCAAATGCGTTGACGATATTCCATCGGCTGGGTCTGGGTTGGAGTTCAGCCTCTCGGACCGAGATTTACTTTTGATCCCGGAACTATACTGTTCCTGACACCGCAACTCACTTGTGGCACTGAAAACTTCAGTTTCGTATACCTGCCAAACTTAGATGTGCAGAGGCACCCGTTTGGTTGGATTAACATTTAACGTTATTTAGGTATCAAAGAATGTTATGAGAGATAACGTTACTTAAAAAACTTTTACAAAAAGTTATAAGATATAATGTATTTTTAATTTTTGTTTCTCCAACTAACGTTGAATAATAGTTTATTTCCGAGTTATCTTTTTTAACTCGAAAATCATTCGAATTTTGGGCAAAATATTTCAACTACCCGAAAAGAAATAAGTAATTTCCGTTAGTTTCCGGATTTTCTTTAATGTTAAGTTATGTTAAGTTTGCACACCCTGCGTACTATGTGACCTGCCTGAAGCTGTTGTAGTGTGTGATGTTCACAAGCCAAAGTTAAGTGTTTTTCTTCTACTTAACAACTAGAAGTCTCCTGTTGTGCTAGCCGATTTTACTTTTGTTTTCTTTCCTTTGACTGGCTGGCAATTTTATGTTTTGTTCTAAATTCTTAAATATGAAAGTTTCTTTTCATAGCTTTTACGAACATTATTTATTGTTTTTGTTTAATAAAAACTTTAGTTTGACAATTATATGTCTTCATAAATGTATCACCCCTTTTCCCTCACATGAAGTATTGTCTGGAATTAATAGCTTTTCAATTAAAATTGATCTAATGCAAACTTGTACACAAAGAACAACAATCAATATTATTGGGCAAGAACATGGTCCATATACAACAACCTCTTCTCCAAGCCTGTCGCATTAGAAGCTTCAAATAATTGTGCTAGTTCTGGTTTTTCTTCATCAAACTCTTCATCATCTTCCCCTTCACAGTCCTCATTACCTAGAGCCTCCCCGTGAAACCCGACCCGTGTACAATCCGTATACGTTCCACGTACGATCCCTATGTGTTCATACAGGTAACGTATAAGGTTCGTATGTGGTCAGTGTGTGATCTGTCCGCTACATACGATCCGTACGTTGACGATGTTGCGTTCCCATACGCCGCGTATGTGTGCTTCACGTAAATCGTATACATTTGTACAGACCGATGCGCACGTATACGTCCCGTATATGCACATACGGACTCCATGTGTGGCAGACCGCGACACCTCACGAACGGATGAGGTTGCCATATGTGTTCTTTATGCATACGTACAAAACATGTTCGTGCCGCATACAAACTCAATGGGTGGCGGGTGCCGTATGCGTTCTGTATTTCAACATTTGACTGCTAGTAAATTGCCTCCAAATGGCGCTGCAGTCAGCGCGTCTCCAACTTAAGACGTTTTTATTTTAAGAAGAATTTTCTTTTGACACAGGCTTTTAATTTTGCGCAGAATGTTTTCATTAGCATTCGTCCTCACCGACTACTTGTGGCATTTTTTCAGAAATTTAACCATATTCTAGAAGTGAATGGTTAGTTTTTGACGCCCGACTACGACGTCTTGGTTGGGTATGGCTGCATTCCCATCCGTTCAGCGTCGGGACTTTGAGCGCTGCGGCAAAATTTGGTAACAGCGGACTCTCTGCTACCAACGACCCGCGTCGTTCCAGTGGGAATGGCGTAAAGGTCTACGCTTGTATTGAAAATCTAAACATACGTTACACATACGGCGTTGCGTATACGTTGCGTACACGTCGCGTTCACATACAGGTCTCTCAGGCACATACGGCGTTACATACGTCTCCCACATACTATTCGTATACAATTCGTATACTGAATCTATTCGGCCATATATATTGGGAACGTGTACAGCTAGCCGTATACGGAGTGTATACGAGGTGTACACGGGGCAGTTTTCGCGGGCATTGACACGTACAGGATCTTCTTAATTCTTCATCCTGAAAATATACAACAATCATTAACGATTGATATGTTCGCAGGGAAGACTGCATGAATGAAACTCGATGATGATTTGCTCGTCCGCCACACTTTGCTTCAAAGCAAGGATGAGGCCGGGTTCCTCCGCTATGCTGGAGTGATGTGCTTCCGAATTTTTTCTAGACATCCGGCAGGCACATCCCCAAACTTCTCCAGAGGCAGGAGAAAATCGGCCAAGTACGGCATGTCGCCTTGGATGAAAGCAAGCAGGTCCTCGCGCCCTATTGCCTTCAAAACTGCCGTGACCTAAAACAATTGACAAATGAACACTCGCCCGCAGACATCCAAGTGGCGAGACGAAGGAAATACTAGCAGCGAGAAGTGGAAAAGACTGCCTAGTACCCGGCGCACGCGCACCACAAGCGTACTAGGCAACCCTTTTGTTCTCCCGACTGACTAACCTGGCGCTTGTGGGCGATCACCGACTGGAGCATGGCGCCGTCCGCAGCGAGGTGAGGCTTCGGCAGTGTTATGGCTGCTTTCATTCTTTTGATGCTGAACCCGAGATTCAGGGGCGCGTTGTTCTTCACACCTTTGCCGGCGCGCGCCACCTGCTCGACATTTTTGAGAATGCCTAACGCCTCCTCGTTGAGCAGCATTTTCTTCCTGAGCTCCAGGAATGTGAGCGTCATCATGCTCTTCACGACGGTGTTCAGGCAGAGGGCAGCGCAATCGTCTCGCTTGGCATCACTCAGTGCTTTGACGATGTTGCTGCCTCTGTCTGTCACCCACTCGATCAGAGTAAACTCCTCCGCAGTTATGCCCAGAGCAGTCAGGTCACGAAAAAGTGCATTTCTGATATTGACCGCAGACTTCGCTAGAGTGGTGGGGAACTGGCTCATGAGTAGGAAGTGCGACTCTTGGCCAGTATTCTGGGCATTTGTGAAGCTTGCAGTAACGGCGATAAAAGAGTTTTTGTTGTGATCGTCGGTCCACATGTCCGTTGTGCAGCGGCATTTCCGCTCTGCAATGGCATGCTTCACTCTGACCATCA